AAAATCCATATATGAGTGAGTACATACCATGTTTGTCTTTTTGTGACTGGGTTACCTCAATCAGGATGGTTTCTTCTAGTTCCATCCATTTTTCTGCAAATTTCAAGATTCCATTGTTTTGTTTTGTTTTGTTTTTTCTGGCTGAGTAATACTCCATTGTGTAAATGTACCACATTTTCTGTATTCATTCTTCAGTTGAGGGGTATCTAGGTTGTTTCCAGGTTCTGGCTAATACAAATAATGCTGATATGAACATAGTTAAAGATGTCCTTGTTGTATGAGTGTGGATCTTTTGGGTATATGCCTAAGAGTAGAATTGTGATAGTCTGATTCCCATTTTTCTGAGGTTCCACCTTAGTGATTTCCAAAGTCGCTGTATGAGTTGGCACTCCCACCAGAAGTGGAGGAGTGTTCCCTTTTCTCTACATCCTCTTCAGCATAAACTGTCATTGGTGTTTTTGATTTTAGCCATTCTGACAGAAGCAAATTGTATCTCACAGTTGTTTTGATTTGCATTTCCCTGATGGCTAAAGATGTTGAGCACTTTCTTAAGTGTCTTTCAGCCATTTTAGATTCCCCTATTGAAAAGTCTCTATTTAGTTCTGTACCCCACTTTTTTATTAGATTATTTGTTTTGGTGACTAACTTATTGAGTCCTATGTATATTTTGGACATCAGCCCTTTATCAGATGTGGGATTGGTGAACATCTTTTTCTATTCTATGGGCTTTTGTCTAGTTGACTGTGTCCTTTGTCTTACAGAAGCTTCTCAGTTTCAGGAAGTCCCATTTATTAATTGTCGATCTCAGTGTCTGTGCTAATGGTGTTATGTTCAGGAAGCAGTCTCTTGTACCAATTTGTTGAAGGGTACCTCCCACTTTCTCTTCTAAGAGGTTCAGTGTGGCTGGATTTATGTTGAGGTCTTTGATCCATTTGGACGTAAGTTTTGTTCATGGCAATGGATCTATCTGCTGTCTTCTACATGCTGGCATCCAGTTATGCCAGTACCATTTGTTGAAGATGCTTTCTCTTTTCCATTGTGTAATTTTAGCTTCTTTGTCAAATATCAGATGTCCATAGGTGTGTGGGTTAATAAGGGCGTTTTCAATTCGGTTCCATTGGTCTACCTGTCTATTTTTGTGCCAATACCAAGCTGTTTTCGGGACTATAGCTCTGTAATAGAGCTTGAAGTCAGGCATGGTGATGCAGCCAGAAGTTCCTTTATTGTACAGGGTTGGTTTGGTTATCCTAGGTCTTTTGTTTTTCCATATAAAGTTGAGTACTGTTTTTTCAAAGTCTGTGAAGAATTGTGCTGGGATTTTGATGGGGATTGCATTGAATCTGTAGATTGCTTTTGGCAAGATTGCCATTTTTATTATGTTGATTCTACCTATCCAAGAGCATGGGAGATCTTTCCATTTTCTGATATTTTCTTTAATTTCTTTCTTTAAAGACTCAAAGTTCTTGTTATGCAGGTTTTTCATTTTTTTTGGTTAGCATTACTCCAAGATATTTTATGTCATTTGTGACTATTGTAAAGGGTGATGTTTCTCTGATATCTTTCTTAGCCTATTTATCATCTGTATATAGTAGGGCTACTGATCTTTTTAGTTAATCATGTATCCTGCCACTTTGCTGAAGGTGTTCATCAGCTGTAAGATTTCCCTGGTAGAGTTTTTTGGGTCACTTATGTAAATTATCATATCATCTGCAAATAGTGAAAGTTTGACTTCTTTTCCAATTTGTATCCCCTTGATCTCCTTTTGTTGTCTTACTTCTCTAGCTAGATCTTCAAGTATAATACTGAAAAGGTATGGAGAGAGTGGACAGTCTTGTCTTGTTCCTGATTTTAGAGGAAATGTGTTGAGTTTCTCTCCATTTAGTTTGATGTTGGCTGTTGTTTTGCTGCATATTGCTTTAATGTGTTTAGGTATGTTCTTGTTATCCCTGATCTCTCCAAGACCTTTATCATGAAGGGATATTGGATTTTGTCAAAGGATTTTTCAGCAGCTAGTGAGATGACCATGTGGTTTTCCTTTGCAGTTTGTTTATATGGTGGATTACATTGATGGATTTTCATATGTTGAACCATCCTTGCATTCCTTGGTTGAAGCCTACTTGATCATAGTGGATAATTTTTCTGATGTGTTCTTAATTATATTTGCAGTATTTTATTGAGTATTTTTTGCATCAATGTTCATGAGGGATATTAATCTGTAGTTCTCTTTCTTAGTTGTGTCTTTGTGTGGCTTGGGTACCAAGGTAATTGTAGCCTTTTAAAAAGAGTTTGGCAATGACCCTCTGCTTCTATTGTGTGGAACACTTTGAGGAGTATTGGTATTAGCTCTTCTTTGAATTTCTGGTAGAATTTTGCACTGAAACCATCTGGCCCTGGACTTGTTTTGGTTGGTAGATTTTTGATGACTGCTTCTATTTCATTAGCAGTTATAGGTCTGTTTAAATTGCTTATCTGTTCTTGATTTAATTTTGGTAAGTGATATCTATCCAGAAAATTGTCCATTTCCTTTAGATTTTTGAATTTTGTGGAGTACAGGTTTCAAAGTATGACCTGATGATTCTCTGGATTTCCTCAGTGTTCATTGTTATGTTCCCCTTTTCATTTCTGATTTTGTTAATTTGCACGTTCTTTTTCGGCCTTTTGGTTAGTTTGGATAAAGGTTTGTCTATCTTGTTGATTTTCTCATAGAAGCATCTCTTTGTCAAATTGATTCTTTGTATTGTTTTCCTAGTTTCTGCTTAATTGGTTTCAGCCCTCAATTTGATTATTTCCTGGTGCCTTCTCCTCCAGTGTGAGTTTGCTCCTTTTTGTTCTAGAGCTTTCAGTTGTGCTGTTAATTCTCTAGTGTGATTATTTTCTAGTTTCTTCATGGGAGCACTCAGTGCTACGAACTTCCTCTTAGCACTGCTTTCAAAATGTCCCATAAGATTGGGTATGTTATGTCTTATTTCTCATTGAATTCTAGAAAGTCTTTAATTTCTTTTATTTTTTCCTTGACCCGGGAATGGTGCAATTGCTCATTGTTTGTTGGGTTTCTGCAATTTGTGTTGTTAATGAATTCTAACTTTAAAGCATGGTAGTCTGATAAGATACAGGGGATTATTCCAATTTTTTCTACATATTGAGGTTTGTTAGTGGGTGGGTGTCTTGTTATTGGTCCCAGCCAAATGTGACTGCTGTGGAACTTTGTTAGAGAGTGATTCTGTGGATTGGTGGGAAAGTCACAAACAATCGAGACTATAAGACTACAAGGAAGGGCTAAAAGGCTCTGTGGGAAAGAACTAGAAGAACCCTGAGTCCTCACCACGAGGCCAGCTCCTAAGAGGACAGAGATGGGTTGGGAGGAGGAGCTCAGGTGGGCCTATTACAAAACAATGAAATAATATTTTCTTCTTTTATCTTTGAGAGATCCATTTCAGGTTCCATCCATCCTGTGCCTGTCTGAAACCCCAGATAGTGCTGGGCCTCATATGTGTTATCATATACATATGTGAATAATTTATATGTATGTTATGTATATATAGTTTATGTATAATAGATATGTATATGGAGAATATATAGTATTGCTTATATAATATATGTATATTCTATATGGAATGTATGGCATATACACTGTACTTATTGAATATATTTAGATGCATAGTATATGTAGACATCATTTATGTATATTAAATATATATGTATACAGAATATTGTACATGTATATGTTTAGTTTATAAGTTTGACACAGTAAGAGATTAACAATAGTAACTCATTGCTGGGCAGTGGTGGCTCATGCCTTTAATCTCAGTACTTGAGAGGCAGAGGCAGGCAGATCTCTATGAGCTCAAGGCCAGCCTGGTCTACAGATTGAGTTCCAGGACAGGCTCCAAAGCTACACAGACAAACTCTGTCTTGAAAAAAAAAAAAACAGCAAAAAAACCAGTAGTAACTCATGATAAAATACAGTTAAAACTGGGACTAGACAATCTTCATCATAACTTCTGGGAGCAAATGCAGAGACCCATAAACACTAGGTGGAGTCAAGGGATCCCTGTAGAAGTGGGGGTGGAAGAATTGTAGGGACCAGAGGGGTTAAGGACACCATGAGAAGACAACCCACTGAATCAACTAAGCAGGGCTCATAGGGGCTGACAGAGACTGAAGTGACAAACATGGACCCTGTACGGGGCTGAGCTAAGTCCTCTGCATATACCTTGATGTCCTTGTGGCACTCTCAACAATGAAAATGGGGGTGTCTCTGGCTCTTTTGCCTGCACTTGGGATCCTTTTCTCCTACTGGGCTGCCATCCAGCTGTGGTATGAGGGTTTGTGCCCACTCTTATTGTATCAGCCATGTTCAGTTGATATCCCAGGGAGGCCTGCTCTTTTCTCTCTCTCTTTTTTAAGGGAAACAGAGGAGGGGTTGATCTGGGGGAGGCAGGAAGGGAGAGGAGCTTCCGGGAGTAGAGGGATGGAAAACAAAAACCTGGGGCTAGAGAGATGGTCCAGTGCTTTAGAGGCTGTTTTGTCAGAGGACCTGACAAGAGTACTGCATGCAGATGGTGCCCAAACATATGCAAATAAAGCACCCATACACATTCAAACAAAATGTGAAAAAATTAAAAATGCAACCATAACAATGGTCTTACTAAAGTTATATGAAATGGGCTCATCCTCTTGAAATTATCTTGGAGCGGAGTTTCGGTTGGGCTCACAGTTCCCTGTTTCTCTTAGCAAGCTCATTGCAAGGAAGTTTTTAATGTCTGCAAAGGTTGTCTTCAGAACTGTTAGCTCTGTAAAGTGGGTTTCTACCTCAGGGTGTGCACCCATATGTCACCATCCACCATCCTCCCACCCAGGCCTGCAGAGGAGTGTTGTCATGTTGGTGCCTAGCTTGTCTTCCTTTTGAAACTCAACAGCCCAAATCCTCTTTTGATGCATCCACTGTCGTGACCATGTTTGGTGTCTCCCTCGCTTACTTTCATTGTCATCCATTGTAGAGCAAAGCTGTCTTCCTGTTGTGATGCAATGCAGTACTTCGTGGTTTCCCAGAACAACACTCCAGTGGGGACTAACTTGAGCTATGAGGCAGAAAGCACGAAGCAAATTCCCATTCGAGAGAACATTTTCCACATGTTCCCAGTGGTGAGTAAGGGTGGTTTGAGGTCGTGACCTGCAGGAATGAATGAGTAATATTAAGGTTACCATATTATGTTATGGCATATGGGACATGTGTAGTGGTGGGCCCACCAAAGAATCTAGTTCTTTTATGTTTATGTTTTATCTCCTTGAGACTGAACCCAGGACCTTACCTGTACTTGGCAAAGATTCTACCATTGAGCTATACCCGAATTCCTTATGGAAGCAATTCTGAATGCAGTGTGACTCCCTAAGAAGAGATTTTATATCATAAATGATCAGTTCTTTCAGCCCTCCACTCGCCTTTACTCTTCAGTTAATCAGCTGAGTCACGGTGGCATAGAGAGGTGCCACATTTTGCCTAGGATCGGATTCTTCAGGTTGTCCTTTTTGATGACTAAGCCCATTCTTGTACAAAGGGCCCATGTGACTTACTTTTTTGATGTCACTATTTAAGAATTCATGGACAATTCATATAACATCTACAAGACAAAATTTATTGTCTACCTGTGTTCTCTGCTGTATCCCACGTTTGCCTAGAACATTTCTCAGTCATATATACACTCAGCACATGTCTGTAAATAAACATGAGTAAAAGATACATACTCTGCTGTTTAGCACAGTGAGAAAATGTAATTTCCATGTAATACAAGTACAAAATTAAGGGAGTATTTTTGTCATGACAAGCATTTCATTCCTTATAATCATGGATTCACAAGTGTCTTTTATGATGTTTTAAAGCAATTAGACCAAATTGACATGATCAGATGGGATCACTGTATCTATGCTGCTTGCTATCTGTAGATACAGTTTCATAATTAATTCACCCTTTGTTAGGTGTTTGACTTCTCGAAAGTAGTTTATTGTGGCTCATGTAAGTTATTTCAATATTTTTGTGTCACAATTCAGAGAAAGAATAGTTTGCTGAGAATAAATGAGAGATAACTAGAAAATGATAGACAAAAATACTGCAAATTTTCTAGACTAAAAGGACAGAAATGTTTCTCATAAAATGGAGAAAAAAATTAAAACAAAGACAAATTTGGTATTTTTAAAATGGTTAATGAAAGAAGACAGTTTTTTTTGTAAATAAAAGTACCTCAGGAAAGTTTAAGAAAAAAATCTTAGTTGAATTTGGTAGTTTATGTATGTAATTCTTGCACTTGGGAGTTGGAGGCAGGATGATCCTGAGTTTGAGGTCAGGCTGGGCTACATAATGAGACTATCTCCAAACACCAAGGAGTGGAGCTCTATATAGCTTAGTGGCAGAATGCATAGTAGGTACAAGGTACAAGTTCCAGGCTGTTATACAGAGAATATGTAGTGTTTACACATCCCAAGAGAAATGACACAAACTTACATGATTTTTTTAAATTGTAAGTTGATCATAATACTATGCACTTATTTATTTAATGAGTTAGATAGTGTGCGTGTTTATGTGTGGTGTATGTGCACATATATACATGGGTACTCATACACACAAAAAAAACAGCACAAGATGTTGGGTGCTTTCTCCCATCATCGCTATACACTTTACATTTTGAGACAGGCTCTGAGAACCCAGAGTCACTGTTTCAGTTAGACAGGCTGGCCAACAAACTGGAGCTCCAAGGATGCACTTGCCTCCTTCTACCCCATGCTAGACTTCAGACATGTCTCTGGATTTGACCCGTGAGCTGGAGATTTTGATTCACTTCTTGCTTTCACAGCAAATACTCCTACTTGAGAAGTCATCGCTCTAGACCCCATGCTGCTTTTTTACACCCCAAAATCTGTTTCTGATTCTTTTTCTTACTCTTTTTCCTTCTCCTAAGCACACAAAGTTTCTGGGATCCAACTGATGATACTTGGAGTTTCTATTTTCTTGGGGGCTTTGGAAATTACATCTCTTCCACTTAGAGTTGGTTCTAATTTTCAAGCAATTGTGTGTCATGACTGGTTTCTCCTCTCTCCCACTAGTCCCAGCCTTTTGTGGGATACCCCTATAACCAGTGTGCAGTGGTTGGCAACGGGGGAATTCTGAACAAGTCTCTCTGTGGAGCCGAAATTGATAAATCTGACTTTGTTTTTAGGTAAGTCTTGTCAAAGTGGTTTCTTGGAAACCAAGGAGCTATTGACTGTTTTAAAGAGTAATAGAAATGATGTGTCAAGTTTTGCCTTTGTCTTTGTGATTGGGTTACTAGCATCTACCGGTTACTCACGGAGACTTTTCTGGAAGTACAGGAGTACAACTGAATTCCTCAACTTGTTCACATTAGTACCATAAGGATATGCAAGAATGAACTGGGTGAATTTGCAGTGAAAGGTTTGAGACTGCAGGACTTCTAAGAGCCTTCAGCCTGTCGATGGGTATAATGGTTCCCTTGGAAACACTCCTGGGAGAAACATTTCTCTGTCTTGGAAGATATTTGTTCTCACAGATGATTGCAAGGGCATTTGTTCTTCAGTAACACTAGGAAAGATGCTGACCTAGACATTGTATAGTCGTACACAGCACTGCTTTCCAGTTTGAAAATTGATTCATATTACTCATCTGCTCAATTCTGGTCTAAAGCAGTTTTGCCTGAATACAAGGTAGTTTATGAAAACAGACACAAAGTTGATTTCTGTGTGTGATTCATGCTAATAATCACTGATTTGCCCAGATGTAATGTGGCTTAAAAGAGGGAGTGGCAAATGTGTTCTTCTTTATGTTCTGGGAGCATCCATCTTGTACATTGAGACCCTTCGTTCCCCGTGGATTTAATACTACTTGTTCTGTGTATTAACAGCAACCACAAATGAAGTTCAAAAAATATCTCCTCCCTCAATTTTCATCTCATATTGGTAATTTATATTGATGGTAATTACACAATGGTCAATCTGATAGCCCAGAAATTACTAAACACTCATTGAATTCTTGACAGAACAATTTTCATGCTTTTCATGTTTCACATTGACATGGCCAGTACTGGAATGAGTTAGCCCTTGTTCACATTTTCAATGTTTGTGTGTGCTAGGGAAGTCACAATGAAAATAGATTATGGTTCATGTAATAGGGTTTTTATAGACTTAAAATTCCCCAAACATCTGTGGTAAGGATTATGCAAAACATTAATTTTACTTTATAGCAGCCATAGAAAAAATACTTTAGGCTTAAAGTCTAGGACAGATAGTTGATTGATAACTTTAAGACAAGACCTGGATTTGTAGGTTCTACTTTAGCTGACGCTAGGATTTTCTGAACACACTCTTTCTTGGCCATTCAAACTGAAAACAAAATTCGTGCCACATATGGTTGGTGTCATTATAATGTATTTAGTTTTTAAGCCTGTACTTATTTTGCCTATACTTGCTAGTCACACATAGAAGTTGCCCATTTGTTTTAATTTCAAACATTGGGAACTACAAATTAAGTGTATAAGGAACAAACATGGCTATAACTATATTATATAGCATGCTTATAGCTATACTGTTACATCTGTGTATGCATTTTATATGAGTATTACACATATATTATATGCATATGCATATTAAAAGGATGCACACACATGTGTACTTCCTGGTATTTTCCATAAAGTCTCCAGTTATGTTAGAAACCACTCTTTTTCTTCTAAATATGGAATGCTTCATGAATTTTCATGTCATCTGTGAGCAGGGGCCATGCTTATCTTTTTCTGTATCATTCCAATTTTAGTGAATGTTCTGCCAAAGCAAGTAGTAAAAACCACTTTTTTATGCAGAATTTCATTTTAATGTACACTGTAGGAAATTTTTAAAAACATAAACCTTCATAAAGTCTTTCACCAGTTTCTTACCATTATGTTTCTATTTTAATTTAAATTTTTATTTTTCATTTTACATAGCAACCCCAGTTACCCCTTCTTCACCATCTTCTACCCCTCCCAGTTCCCCCAACCAATCTATACCTCAGAGGAGGTAAGGCCTTCACTGGGGAGTCAACAAAGCCCTTCCCCCTTATATTAAGCCTGAGCAAGGTAACCCACCTTGAAAGGTATCCCATGGGGAATGGGCCCCTAAAAGACAATTCATGAACCTGGGATAGGTTCTGGTCCCACTACCAGACCTGCCCCCCTCAACAGATCAGGCCATATAACTGTCACCCATTTTCAGAGGACCTATTTTAGTTGCATGCAGTGCCCAATATGTCAGTTCATGTACTGTGAGCTCCTACTGGCGGGGGTCAGATGTCTCTGTGTTTTTCTCCATCATCATCTTGACCCACCCCCTTGATCATATAATGACTCCTCCTCCTCATCAACTTAACTGCAGGAGCTCAGCCCAGTGCTCGGCTGTGGTCACTTCATCTGCTTCTATTACTGGATGTAGGAGAAACCACTTTTAAGCCTGGCATGGTGGTTCATTGTTTGTAGTCTCAACAGTTGGGAGAGTGAGGCAGAAGGATCTTTGAGAGTTTAGGGCTTACCTAGGCTGCAGAGTGAGTTCCAGTCAGCCTGGACTAAAAAGTAATATCCTGTCTCAAACAATAGCAAAACCACTTTGGATTCTTCAAAAGAATGTGTGTCTGTGACTTGTTACAGGAGGCCACTGTTAAGGTCATTCTCTGACCTCCTATCTATAATGAATACATAGTTTCTGATGTATATTTTATATCAAAGTGAGAAGTACCTATTTTATTTATTACGGTGTTTCATAGGGCATGGAGCAGAGTCCTGCAGCCCCATCCATATTACAGATGGCATGGTCTGTACACAGCGCTTCTGGGGCAATCAGTGCTCCCTTTGCATGATCTCCTTTAAGAAGATGGTCTAACTGAAATTTAAAGTATATCCCCCTTTTTGGATTGGCATATATCAAAATTAGCATCATTCATGGTTTTCTAATGAAAAATTAGTACTCCAGATTTAGGACAGCAGGATGAAAATTGCTTCAAATTTCCTTCATCAATAACCTAACTTGGTGACAAAACTTATCTATAGATAGATATCAGAAGATACTAGAGTTCCTATGTGGGTTTCGTTCCTGGGAGACCCTGTCAATGCATTTTTAGTGCCTCCAGTTCTTTAAGTCTACAGTGATCATTCCATTGTAAGAATATAATCAGCCAGCCGGGGAGTTGGTGGCGCACGCCTTTAATTCCAGCATGCGGGAGGCAGAGGCAGGCGGATCTCTGTGAGTTTGAGGCCAGCCTGGTCTCCAGAGCGAGTGCCAGGATAGGCTCCAAGGCTACACAGAGAAACCAAAAAAAGAAAAAGAATATAATCAGCCTCAGTCAATATTTAGTTGATCTAAGTCACAACTTCAATAAAGAGCCTTGAAAATCCTTCAGAAGCATGACAAGGAATTATTTGTCAGTTCTGGTTTTGATACTTAAAAATGTCAACGAAAATGTTAAAAATCACTCATGAAATTTTGTACAATGTTGAAACATCATTTTAGAGTCTTTACCTCTTGATATTTTCAAGTGGAAATGAGGTGTATCTGAAGTCCTCACTGGTTGCCTCTGCAATTACAACAGTTGTCAGGTGTGAGTGTGTGTGTGTGTGTGTGTGTGTGTGTGTGTGTGTGTGTGTGTGTGTGTACACATCTGCTTTTTATAGGTTGTATTTTGAAAATAATTTTCCTTCCTTATTCCAGGTGTAACCTCCCTCCAATCACAGGGAATGCTAGGAAAGATGTTGGAAGCAAAACAAATCTTGTGACTGTCAATCCCAGCATCATAACCCTGAAGTGAGTACCTGCAAGCTGCATAACTCCTCAGAACTCTTTCTGATTGCTTCACACATTTCTCTCACTGCTGAGGCTGACATGTCCCACAGCTGAGCCAGCTTCTGGTGAAAACAAAAAGAACACCTCTGCAAAGTTTGACATCTCATCCAGTCTGAGTTCACAATGACTCAGTTGTCCTTCTAGTGTCATGATCTGCGTGTTTCTAATCAAAGGAGAATTTATCTCCTCAACTTAACAAATAGGGAACATGATTTCTTCCATTTTCTTTCAGAGTCTTCATGCTATGTACACTTTCCCCTTGGTAGTGAGTTCTTTTTTGACAAAACTGTTTATGAGTCTGAGAGGAAGCCCTAGCACAATGGGACAAAATACTATTGGTTTTCATTTCCAGTAGTTGGTTAGAATAGTTTCTATAGCTTCTGTAATATAACTGTTATAGAATGTTGATTCATTCATAAAAATCCCACATATGCTTTGCTCCATTTTTTTTTTGTCAAAAAGAGAGTGCAGATGTGAGTTCAAGGCCAGCCTGGTCTACAGAGTGAGTTCCAGGACAGCCAGAGCTACACAGAGAAAATGTCTTGGAAAACCAAAACAAACAACAACAACAAATGAAATAACAGTGAAAGATACTGGTAATAATTAGTAATAGAATAGACTTCTCAAATTGCTCTAGAATCTCTGAGTGAAAACAAAACAGGGTACCGCTTTCGAGAAGCTAAATTGTGAAAAAAATTTTACTTGCAAGAGTTCTTCCTAAGGTGTCATATGAAGCACAAGAGGATGATAGCCTAAATCAGGAAGAAAATTATAACAATATATACATGTATATTTTCAGGCAGCAAAGGCCCTCTAAGCAAAACTATTTGGTGATTAAATATGTATAATAGATGTATAACTTACAACCTTTAAATACATGTAGGCTATGGTATTTGGTTATAAGTAAGTTTAAAGGTATTAAAAAGCCAAAGTGACATTATATAATGTTACTGGATTATAATATAAAATGATAGAAATGTCTATCTACTAATAAGTCCCTGTAGATCAGGAAAGAGGAATGGAGACCAGGTATTGATATTTACTTGATACTTGATCAATGTTGCTAAGTCAGTGATTTGACTTTTTAATGTAATGGACATAGATGGTTGCATTTTTGACCATCATATAAACAAAATTCTTGCTTTGATTATTGTTGTTGTGATAATGATGATGATGATTGTGATTTTTTTTTAATTTGGCAGATACATGAACTTGGCGGAGAAGAAAGAAAAGTTTCTGAAGGATATTTCCAACTATGGAGACACATTCCTTCTCCTGCCAGCCTTTTCCTTCAGGATCAACACAGGCGTCTCTTTTAAAGTCTACCAAACCCTCAAAAAGTCTAAAGTTAGGCAAAAGGTTCTCTTCTTCCACCCCAGGTACCTGAGACGCCTTGCTTCCTTCTGGAAAACTAAAGGCGTGACAGCATATCGCTTGTCCACAGGCTTGATGATCGCAAGTGTTGCCATCGAACTGTGTGAGAATGTGAAGCTCTATGGATTCTGGCCTTTCTCCAAGACTGTAGAAGAAATACCTGTCAGTCACCACTACTATGACAACAAGTTACCTAAGCGTGGTTTCCACCAGATGCCCAAAGAATATAGCCAGATGCTCCAGCTCCATATGAGAGGGGTCCTCAAACTGCACTTTGACAAATGTGAAATACCTTAAAATTTCTTAATATGAGAATAATTTCACTGGGATGAGATTGGTGAGTCATGGTGTCACCAAACACTAAAGAAGGAAGGAACAGAGAATGGAGGGTTACAAAAGAGCTCCCCAACTTGGCTAGACCAAAGCTGCCCACTAACTTTGCAGCCTCCACTAGCCGCTCATTCCAATCATCAACATTCTCTGAAAATGGAGCTCATGGTATCAGACTCAGACAAGTAAAATGAGAAAAATTTTTTAAAGCCTCTTGGCATAGGATTTGATTTGAGGCAGGGACTCAATGAATGTTTCCTTGTTACTTACTATTTGTAATAGCCATTTCCACTTTTACCAGAGTGGTAATGAAACTGAGCCAAAGACCCTTTCTGAAGAGAATGGCTGAATCACAAGCACTCATTGATTTCTTAGGCACAGCCCTTCCTTTATTAATATCTTACCATTATCCTCTCTCTACTAAAAGAGTACCTTCCAGAAAATTTCATTAAACAAGAAAGTGTTGGTTATTCAGGAAGAAAATTCTTTTACTTGGCAATGTGCCTGCTTTTGATTCAGTTTACTTAGGATGTTAGCTGCATTGGGGTGTTGTTTGGATTTGGGGCATTTCTTTGTCTCTTTTGTCTACATGTTCATTGCCTTTATCATTTTATACTAACTTCCTGCTTCAAGGTTTTGCCCCCATTCCCACCACTTAAAGGGTCCACTCAATGACATAAGTAGTTATAATACTCACCACTTCTCACCTGATATCTTGTCTATGGAGCTACTCATCTGATTTTTTTAAAAAAATACTTAACAGCTATTTGATGTCAAGCCCTGGGATAAGACTCTGTGGGAGGGTATGAAGGTATTACCACTGAGGGAAAAACAGGTGCACATCATTAATTGCTAAGTACCACAATCGTCATCCTGACAGTTAAAAACACAGCATTGGAAGGTTCATAGACAGGAACAGTTAAATCTATTCTAGTAGAATCAACTTCAATGTAACTGTTTTGGAGACGAGATGCTTCTAGAATTAAAACTAGGAGATAGTTCTTAGCAAAGGAAGAGGTTTCAAGGGGGAGGGGGAGTAATAGGAAGAGATCACTGTTCCCTTGATTGTTGTTATCAAACAAGTGTGCTAGAAGCTAGAACTGGAAGCTGCCCTTAATCTGGGAGAGAGTATAGTGTGTGGGGGTGATGGCTTTTGCCCACACTTGAGAAGTGGGAATAGTTCAGACCCAGTCACTTCAAAAGGAAGACTTAGGATGCAAACATCTAGCATATTTCTCTAGGAAGAGAGGAGTGTTTCCATGAAAAATTACACTGCTAAGCATCAGTCTAGAGTAAAGTTTGAGTAAACGTTAAATATGAGCATTTTACAGTCCTTGCTGATGTCACAATGATACCCCTTAGTGTAAGTCATAACACATTTATTGTTATTTGACTTAATAAACAATCATATGCATGCATTTATGCTTATCCATGGATGTTCCCAGGAAATCTAAGACAGGAATATTGAAGATGATGTCCACATGCCAAGATACCTATAAATTTTATTTTTAATTCTTATCTGAGCCAGCTTGTTGTATATCAAATGCTTTTTTGAGGGAACACTGTGCTGTGAATTCTTCAGGCTGATGTAGTATAACCTTGCATTTGACATCTGTGGTGTTATTTCAAGTTTATATTTACTTTGTTCTTTTATAGCACATTAAACTTATTAGATTTATAAATTTATCAAAGGTTCTTACATAAATATTTTTCAAAAGGTGGTAAAAGGAATTTTGTTATATAAAATCAAGTTTATTATCTTTCTTCTTCTGGTTAATAGAGACTCTTTTACGCTGCTGCTAATAGATTTAATTAGCTTTAAATATCTCCTAGCAACACACTGGTCATGTTTCCATCATGCTATTTGCAAAGAAATATTTTTAAAGTAGATCAGAAAACTATCATTTTTATAGTTAATAAAATTTTTCTCAAAATATTTTGTGGCTAGTAGAAACAAAGTCTTTTTGATAGTATTGGAAATACATGACTGATGAACAAAAGGAGTAGACTTAAATTATTAAATAATGTGGAGATGTTACAAATGTAATAGCAAAAATATTGTATCTTGTCAGAAAGTTTTGAACTTACTTAGTGTTTTCCCATATATGATGCTATTTTAACTCAGGAGATTTTAAATATCAAAAAATAACTCTTCAGTGTCACCTACGTGGATTTCAGAAATTCTCAAGAAAACATGAGGTTAATGATCATGAAGATAGCCATGTTTCAACAAAACTTCAGTAAAAAAAAAATTCTTGAAACTTTTATATAGAAAAGCACAGTTCTCCACATGCAAATTATTAATTCATTTCTTGTTTCATATTTGTCTTGCTAAACCTGATTGTGTTTGAAATTTTCCCACAACTCTACCTGGGTGGACATAGGCCATATTCAGAAGACTCCCTGAGACTTCCTGAGTCCTGAAGTCAGATCTTGTGTTACCTAGTCCACAGAGCTACAAGATGGAATTCATACGTGTTTTTTCTTTTCTTTTTTTCTTCCTTTCCTTTCCTTTCCTTTCCTTTCCTTTCCTTTCCTTTCCTCTTATCCCCTCCCCTCCCCTCCCCTCTCCTTCCCCCCACCCTCTCTCTCTCTCTCGTGATGCTTTGATCATAGTGTGAAACTTGCAGCAATTCACTGCCATGGAACAAAAAGAACTCTTGACTAATAGTTTGCAGTTCCCAAAGCTAATCCGTTGTTTATAAAAACTCAAGTTTTGCATTGTGCATTGGATGCATTGGATGCCACCAGAATGTCTCCAACACAGTCCTCCTTTGAATCTATTTCCCATGTGAGTCTGTAATTGTGATTTTGCCATAAATTGGGGCTTCTGGCTGTTACTCAAACTCTCTTTAGAAGAGTTCACATCTAACAAGAGAGGGTGGCTCATTTACATTTGGACATTTACTACGTGGGCAATCATGACTTTTCCTTTTGTTCCCCTGTGATCTGCCCATAATGTGCTTTTGTTCCCAAAACCAACAAACACTCTAAAATATGCAAGCATATGAATTGTGATAATTCAGGTATATCAGCTACATAATTTATGCAGCAAAACTCAGTTCTTTTTGTTTCTTATTGGTGGATAATACTATCTCAAGCTTCCACCCAGATCAACACACAAAAATGACCATCAGCTCCCTGTAGGCTTGTAGATCAACCACATCAAATCTGATAACATTGTCAAGGAGGATTGCATTTGTCTAGGTGAATTGAATCTGATGTTCTGCTACTAAATTCCAGTCCATCTATAGGCATTAAAGATAGGTAGTCTGGACACTAATGCTAGGTAATGGTAGACTTTCAATTAGGAGTTTTAAGATAGCACACACCTTGAGATTCTAAGAGAAATACCAGCTTGCTTGATTTTATTTTTTTCTGTTTGTCATTTGGCATCATTGGACAATGTAACAGAACAATAAAATTCCAAAATAATTTCTCACCAAATCCAAGGGAAAATAAACACATATTCAAGCTCATCACTGACAGTGTTGCGTGTGAGGAGGAGTCTATGGACGAAGGTGTAGTTGTTTTTTAACTCTCAAGGAAGGCAAAGTCAGAGCAGGAGTTTCATGAAAGATTTCAGGCTACATGTAAATTTAAACCTAGTGAATGTATGGATTGTCAACAGGTAATCAAGGGCATTTTTTTTCCTGAGAACTTTCTTTGTAGAGAATACTGAAGTGGGCCATACATCAGCCATACTTTTGCTTAGAGCCTTCTTTCTTGTTTACAAAAAAAAATCTTGCTAGTTAAATGCTGTGTCTTGTCAAGTATTCTGAATCACACCAGGAAATTCAGGAAACTGGGAAACATATTCCGAAACTGCATAAAACAGGTATGCTGTTATCTTAAAACTATTGCAGAAGTATAGTTTTGATGTGACATATACAATATTTTATTTGCATAATATTATATGAAAATATTATTTTGCAATTAAACATTAAAGACATTGCAAGAGTCTGTTATATCTGATAGACATAGTAAGATTCCTTCTCTATGCTTAAACCAAAAATCCAAATTGTTTAATATTTTTTGTTTATTTGTGCTTCTAAAGGCTCGATAAAAACACCTCTTGACTTTTATTATTCTGAGTCATTACTCTTCTAGGATCATTCTTTTTATAAAATTATTCAAGTAGTGAATGATAAAGATGCACTGCTTATGTAATGGAGACAGTCAAAGTCTTTCTTAAAAAGTAATTCATTTAATTTTCTTTTATGTGCTTTGGTGTTTTACCTGGGTGTATGTCTGTGGGAGGGTGTCAGATCCCCTGAAACTGGAGGTAGAGACAACTGTGGCTTACCATGTGGGTGCTGGGAACTGAACCAGGGTTCCCTGGAAGAGCAGCCAATGCTCTTAACTAATGAACCATCTCTCTAGGTATAAGACAGTCAAACTCTTTAAAAGGGAGTTCTGGAACACAGACAATTACATGGGAAGAAATGTATACCTACACAACACCATGGGAGATGAGATTAGAGGATAACAAAGTAACAGCATAAAACTAAAAGAAAAAATACATATTTAAGGATTTCACTTCTGCAATGGCCAAAGGTAATATTTTAAGTAACTAAGCTAACAAATGACAGATGTGACTATAAATGTCTAATCAGTAAATGACATCTCAATACTCAGGCTCATGAGAGACATTTCAGGGACTGCCATCAACAAGTAAAATTTAAAATGAGCAAATGTTAATGTGGATATAGTTTACAAAGGAAAAGCCTGGGTAGCCAGTAAGAACAAGAAATAGTCAAACTGACTCATAAACTGAGAAGTGAAAATTGGAATAATGCTATATCCATTGTATTGGTAACAGTTAGTGATGTAACATCCTAGTGTTGGTGGATGTATAAATTAATTCAACATTTTGGAAAGCAGTTTGCAAATGCTGAGTAAAATTCATCCCACAGCTATCCTATGGCCCAGTCATCTCACTTTAGGATTTATGCGCCAGAGAACTTCCAGGAGACAAATATTGAGCCAGAAAATTAGACATAAGAACTTTCCATCTTGGAAAACTATGAGTTAAGTTTGGTGGATACATAATATAAAAATAGTACAAATGTTAGAAGCAACTTGTGATATATAGAGAGAATACTAAGGATGGGTCTTAAAATTTTAACATAAAGGAGAAATGAGCTTTATCAATGCCATTCTGTTACTCTAAAATATATACTTTATATCAAAGTCATATGTCAAATACAAGAAGCGTGTCCACTTAGGAGACGGTAATGGGGGTATGCTGAGGGATAAAACGTCATCATACATCCATGGGCACATACATTCTTATTCTCACATAAAGTATTTTACTAACATAAAAATAGAATCTGAGACACAAAACTGTAAGTAATTTACATAAGGTTTCATTATAGGAGTAAAGGTAGCATCCAAACTCTCACATCTGACTATAAAGCCATTTCTCCCCAGTATGCAAGTACAGAGGGAAAAGAAATCCCAAGGCCATTGACTACAACTGACATATAACTGACAGAGTATATTGAAAGTGTACAACTTGCAAAGTTTTGACCTGTGCATACTCCTGAAGCCATCTCCACTATCAATATGCACATCCATTTGCCCCCAAACATTTCCTTGTGCTAATTTGTAATCAGTTCTTCTTACTGTTGATGTTTCTACCCTTCTTCCTACGAACTCTGGATCTGCTTTTCTATAGACTAGCTTACATTTTTACAATATAGACTGTTTACATTTTCTTAGAATTTTGTACGATGAAATCATGGCATTATGTACATTCATGTGCTGTCTTGCTCCTTTTCTCAAAATTATTCTATGAAGATTGATTTTTGTTTGTGTGTCTGTAATTTGTTTCTTTATTTTCTGGGTAGAATACTGTTATGTAATCTCTTTATGCATTCACCTGTTTATATACAATTTTGTCCAGTGGTTATGGATGCTTCTAATAAAGTTATCACCAACAGTCATGTACAAGTCTCTGTGACTGTGTGTTGTTATTTCTCTGGAACAAAATCTAGTATGGGAATGGTCAGGTCACATGGTCAGTGTGTCACTAACATCTTAACAACTAGTTGACTGATGAAAGTTTTAAAATTTACTTAATTCTTGTTTGTTGAGTTTTTATACTTACTGTTTGAAATTACAAACTCCTTGCCAAATCCAAGGTCACAGAGCTCTTCTGTGTTTTTATTTAGGGGATTTATAGTTTAGTTCTTCCACTTTAGGTCAGTGAGCCACCTTGAGATAATTACATTTTGTGTATATTTAAGGTGTGGGGTAAAGTTCAAAGTTAATATTTTACATATATCAAAAATATTTTACACACATCTATACAACTTATTTGCTTGTGTATTCTATCCACTTCCATTGATTTATCTGTTTTTATGGCAATATAGTACTTTCATTGTATGATGTCATGTTTTAAAATAAGAAAGTATTTGTACTAATCATATACTGTGTGTGTGTGTGTGTGTGTGTGTGTGTGTGTGTGTGTGTGTGTGTGTTGCTATTCTGAAAGACTTTGTGTAAGTTTGTTGTTTTGTCATTGCATGTTTAGAAAAATTTACCAGTCAAACCATCTGGGATATAATTTTCCATGAGTGAAGATTTAATCTCAAGAAATTTCTTCAATAGACATGAGAAAATTCAACTTATATGTTTTAGACCCTATTTGTAATGTGTGGCACTGGAAGAATTTATCCTCTTACTGTAAGTGGTGAAGTTGAGCTCCACAGCGTTGTTCAGAACTTCCATTTCTCTTTATTGTTGTGTTGTCTGCTGTGATTTCCTCCATCCTTTTTTCTTGTGATTACAATTTGTGTCTTCTTTTTTCTCAAATGGACTATCTCAGAGAACCAGGTTTTGGATCCCCTGATTGGCTCTTCTGTATTTATTTTTTCTTTCAGTTTCATTTTCTCTTATTTTTATAGTTGTTTGTAATCACATGTTTTTCTTTAGATGATATCTATCCTTCACAATTGCTTTTTCGGTACTAGAGCTTAAACTCAGGACTTGCCCATGTTAAACAAACAACCCACTGAGCTGCCTCCCCAGTCCAAGAAAATTTGATGCCTTTTGGCTTCCTTCTTATTTCCTCCCCCAATATCCTCCTCTATGCCCATGTCTGGCTGGCTCTCTTCCATCCTCAGTTCACCACTGTGTTTCATGACACATGCATTCTGCTGCCCTTTCCAGTCTCTGTCTCACTGCTCACGATTCCCTTTCTCTGTTCATGACCTATATCTACACACACATGTAAATACATTACATGTATGTCTCTTACGAATTCTTCTTATGAGAGAAAACATGGCATTTGCCTTTCTGCATCAGGCTTTTTTGTTTAAAATCATTATTTACAGCTCTACACATTTTTTTGCAAAATTTCATAGTTTAATTTTTCCTTACAGCTTTATGAGATTCCATTATGTAAATGTAGCACTTCTTTATTTGTTCATTGTTGATGGACATCTAAGATGGTCCTGTTTTCTGCCTATTATTAATAGAGAAGCAATGAACATGGATGAGAAACACCCTTAGAGTATGCTGACCTTGTGATTCATATGCAAACGTGGCACAGCTGGCTCATACCATAGTCCACTTGGCACCTACACAAAAACTCAGCCTGTATTATCTTATTAAAACGTAAGTCTTTGTGGTGCATTAATTTTTCCTTTGTCTCTCTCACACACTTTTTATGATGAGTTTTAGGTCCATCTGTACTTTTAATATCCGTGTTTGTTTGAGGCAGGTTTTATATAGCTCATGCTAGCCTTGGGTTCTTGGTTTCTGGCCTCCACTTCACAAGTGGCATTGCCCTCACACTTGTCCTTATTATTTCATTGTATAAAAGAGAAAATTGAGGCTAGGACATTTACCTAATGTCACATAATACTCAAGTACCAGAGCCAATATTCAAGTACAGAATGGATGCTCAAAGGCTGTGAACTCGGGAAGCATTTTATACTGCTCAGTTTTATTGCTATCAGTGGTATTTACTTGAAAATGTTTTCCCACAATGTTTAAAATTTTAGAATTTTACCATTATCACATTGGATTTTTATTTTACCATCATATTCTTTATCAGAGTTTTTATATTTTCATTTCCTAGTTTGATATGTTATCATTTATGGACCTATATGTTTTTATAATAATATGCATATGTTTATAATTTTATGTTTTATACATATTTTACTATGCGTATTTTATATTTTGAAGCATCTGATGTATTATATACTCCTGAGTTGTGTTTTCATAAATGAGTATTTAGTGTGAAGTTTAAGACTCTGCGGTGCTTTTAAAGGTAGGGGTGTGTGTGTGTGTGTGTGTGTGTGTGTGTGTGTGTGTGTGTGTGTTATGTGATATCCAATAAAATATCACTAAACTATTATCATATTCTCTAACTTTGGTGCTCTTTAACATCTTCAATTCAGCTACTACTGTGTTTTTTGGTATTAATACCAGTGCTTTCATCTGATAGGAAATACAGATAATAAAAAAAATCATTGCTAATTGTAAATAAAACTAATAGCAAGTTTGCAGGATGCAGACAGCCAATATCCAAACTTTGTTATCATGTGTTAAAGATTTGTGCCTTGTTAAGCTCTCTAGATAATGCTTTTCATGTGTTACAATGAATTTTCCCAAGATTTTGAGGTAGCTCTCTGATTTCACAGATGAGAAACCATGAAAGACTCAAGTTCTTTCCACTACAAATATCAAAAGCCCCACTAATGTGGCAGGAGCTCTTTCACATTCTTTGTCCACAGACCTATGTTCAGAGACACAACAGCTAATCCTCTGGTCCTGGCCTCATTTTCCCATGAGTATCTCAGCCCAGCTTAGCTCAGTGTATTGACTGCAACCTAAGTCTAGCTGTTGGATAGATAAATTTCATACCTTCAGAGGTTATATTATACGTTGATACATTCCCAAAGTGGGCAGGATCACAAACTGGACCAGTTCAGAGAAGGAAACAATTAACTTTCTTCAAAACCTCCAGCAAACACTTCCTTATTTCTAGTAGGCTCAAACTGTTCACAAGCCCATGGTTGAATCAGTCAGTGATGAAAGGACTTTATATATAACCTGGACATTTAGTCCTTTCCCAGTTACACAGGTATCCAAGGAGGGCAGTTGTGCACAGATAACAGGGTTATGCTGGAAAAGAAGGAACAGTGGAAGAGATCCTGTGTGCGCCTCAACCATGCTTGCTAAAAGAAAATTTTCTGGTGTCTACTACCAGAATTCAAACTGGGGTCTGAATTCCAGCATCATGGACTCCAAATTCCAAGGCCATTCTCACCTAAAATTTACTATGACACCATCCTTCCAATCACTAAGAGGATATGCTGCAACACTTAAATGTTACAAAATTAGTTACTAGGCACAAAATTTATTCTAGAAGCAGTGCTGATATAAAACGACCCTTTAAAAGTTCTTTGGGTCATGGATCCCTCTTTTGTGCTAAATCAAAATGTAATATACAGAATTAATTCTTATTTGTATTTCTTTTTCTTTTCTTTTTGGTTTTTCGAGACAGGGTTTTTCTGTGTAGCTTTGGAGCCTATCCTGGCACTCGCTCTGGAGACCAGGCTGGCCTCGAACTCACAGAGATCTGCCTGCCTCCCGAGCGGTGGGATTAAAGGCGTGTGCCACCAACGCCCGGCTCTTATTTGTATTTCTTATAAGAAAATGATTTGGTTAATTTTACATCAAATATGTGAAATGAAATATTCGCTCTTATGTGAAGTTAGAGAAATTGCTATTAAGACTTCAGAGTAGACTCTGCACTTTTGATCTTGGGTAAATATATATATTTTAGTAATGTTGTCCAAAACTGATGGCTTTAGGGTTTTATTAGGCACTCATGTTTCCCTTTTAAGAATAATGAAATTCTATGCATCTTGAGAGCACCATAATAACCTAGTCTTCAAGGAGTGGTTGTTCCCAAGCAACAAATGTCTCTAGTAGTTTCTTCCATTGTGTATCCCACCATCAGGTGGTGGGAAATCTATTTCTAACATGATAATCCCATGTCCTGCATTTCCCAGACCATCTTGGTTCATTCCTGTTCATTCTCAGAAGGGAGGAGTCCAGTTTTAATGATAATGTGTGTGGCCATCTACATTCTTTTTTTAAATCATTTTTTATTTGAATTAGAAACAAGGGTATGTGATAGCTAGGGTTTTAGTTGGGAGGGAGAAGGGAACTGGGATTGTCATGTACATCTACATTCTTTTAAATTAGCTTCTCATAGACAGGATTCCTTCTGTCATGCATATAGCCTTGTAGAATGCTTGAAGTTTAGATTTTCAAATCTCTGAGAACATCTTCAGTTGGTAAAGTGCTTGCCATGCAAGCATGAGAATCTCAACTCAGATGCTCAGCACCAACACAAATATAAAACCCAGCATGGCAGCGCTCTTCCTTCCTTCCTTCCTTCCTTCCTTCCTTCCTTCCTTCCTTCCTTCCTTCCTTCCTTTTTTCTTTCTTTCTGCATCTTCTGTCTTTCCTGTTTTTTTGAGTGGCTACTAAAATTCTGCAGTTTCTAATTAAATGTGAATACCTTCAGCTTCTCTATTTGGTTTCAGTTAGTAAAGATCTTTCAATTGATATATTTTGTCTTACTTTTGTTATGGCATGTTTAAAGTGTTTGCCCTTACAAAAATGAAATAGTATTATGTATAAATGTCCACTGAATAACTATGATTTCTGCATATGGTATTGCCACATTGGGAGGCATCATGTAAATTAATTGCTTTAAATGACCAAAACCAAATTCAATGCTAAGAAAATATTGTTTAAGATTTTATTAAACTGTAACTAACTTTCCCTGAGCTCATTATCATTTCATTGACTTCTTTGAGATTGCTACTAATTAGTTTATCCTCTTTTATAGATGAGGAAGGAAACTGAAGTTTCAAAAGAATAGGAACTTGAACTAACATGCACAGCTG